TATTTACAAAAAAAATCGATGTATTTACATCAGTTGTCTAGTACCCATAACGCAAGTTCTGCTTAGCATGGGACTAGATGGCGCTGTGTAAATAGTCTGAGATATTTTTATTATTATAATTGTTGTCTCATTTTCAGTTTTTGTTGGTTTATTATTTCTATACATATAAATAAAATTGGAGTGTCTGTTTATAACATTGAAATAACCTTTTTTTACTATATGCATATGAATATAAATCCAGTATATACACTAAAATAACATTTTTTACAATTTTTGTCTGTCTGTCTGTCTGTTCCTTCCCGCTAATCTCTGAAATGGCTGGACCGATTTTGACGGGACTTTTTAGCAGGTAGCTGATATAATAAGAAGTAACTTAGGCTGCTTTTATTTTAGAAAAATAAAGTTAAATTCCACACGGACGAAGTCGCGGGTATAGTTAGTAATAAATAATAAATATGTATCATTAAAAGTATTTTGAAGTTTCCTGTCAGATACACAATTATACAGCGCGCGAAATTAAATACATTTATAAGAGTCAATTGCATATGAACGTCTCAATATGGCTATTACATTATATATCTTTAAAGGCGCGTATTAACCGTAATAATACTTATATATATACAATTGAGTGACAAACAATCAGACGGCCCGCCTAATGTTAAATACATCACAAAAAATCATAACTCCCGGGCTACCTTGGCATTTCTGAGGAATTACATTAGAACACTTTGTATAGTAGTATATAGAGCAATTTTACATTGTAATAAATTACTGAGTTTCTTGTCAATTCTCATCTCAAGATCATTCCGAACTGACGGTAGATTTGACATATCATAGGAATCTGTAATAGACCTTTGTTAACGTAATTATAATAAAATATATTTATTTAGCAACCCTGAAAAGGTAGCTCATGTATAAAATGGGAATACAAAAGGTTATTAAATATAATATATAGATTTTGCCAAAAGGAAACGCCACTTAACATTCTATGTGGTTGCAGTTATTGCATAGACGTCTCCTTTGGAAAGTTTAAACTATATCTTGAGGATATAAAAACTAAGAATATCCTTCAATTCTTGACGAGTTGTAGTGGTTTAGAATCCCACAGTATCCGTGCGCACGCCGTCATAAAGGCAGGAGGATCTGTATGAATATATCCCCTAGTAATGCTCAATTTACACTCAGCCCGAGTGGGCAGGGAAGTGAGCAGCGCAAGAGTGTAAACACGAGTGGAAACACTTCCCATGCCATTGGCGCTGCCAGGTGCTCCCTCGATTGTCGGTTTTTCGTGCGCGAGTCAAAGGACTGGCAGCGCGAGGGGCAGCATGTTTTGTTGTCGCCCGGCAATATTTCCGGCAGCGCGAGTGGCAGGGGAAGCGGCTGAATGTAAACGTAGCATTATGCTAGAATGCAAGAAAGTTATATATCTATATATATAGATAACATGTAGGTCATGAATAAAGATGTTTTGAATTTGAACATATATGTATATATATATATAGTTAGATTACTCTTACGTTGCACACATATATTCATGAGTATGATTGTTTATATCTGGATATTTTCATTTATATTATGTATGTATTTACAAATAAAAAGTATACATGTATTTATATCAGTTGTCTAGTACCCATAACACAAGCTTTGCTTAGCTTGGGACTAGATGACGTTGTGTGAATTGTCCTACAAAATTAATATTATTTTATACTTTATCCTAAATTGAACATTTTGTATCCCATAGTATACGAGCGTAAGCGTTACCCGAAATTATAACTACATGCAATCCGGATATATTGTTATGTATTATACTATATAAAAGAAATGTTTGCACGTCTCTATGTCAGGTCAATATTGTCAGAATTTGATTTTATTATACAAATAAAAATATTATATAGTTAAGGCGTCACGATCCTTACAACTAATAGAGTCAAACAACTCTATGTACATACATCAAAATCTACAACTAGAACATTATTTACAATCCAATACGAAATATTGAATATTCTTAATTTATAGAACACGATCAAATCATTATTAACACAGCTATTCAGGTCTTGACATGGATAGTTTTATGTTAACCTCTCGTCTGCGAAGGAGCCAAGTGTTGGACTTGGACACTATAGACCCATCTGTGGAATCCTAATATAAAAAGATATTATATATAAAAAGAGTTTGCTTTCAGTCACTCCATAATACCTTCCTTCAAATATATTTATAGATGCTTCAGTGTACTTTTTATATTTACTGCATAATATTTGCATTATACAGTAAAAACATAAAACACCCTGTATAGTATATATATGTAGAATATGCTTACCAATATTAAAAAGTAAATATAATCCGTCATACTCGTGAACGAGTGCTGCTTGTAGGGACTGGTCTGATCTTATCACTACGACTGATTTAATCTTATTGTTTTTTTATATTTGACCCAAATAAAATTATGCTTACTTTACTACTACTTGACTTATAAATGTGAACTTACAAGGATTATTTAAAAGAGCAACACACAAGTTTCTTGCTCGTTCTTCTTGTGATGAGCTTTCCGAACGAGCGGTAGATAAAAAAAATGTTAAATTAAATTTATTTGAATAAATGATTTTCTATTCTATTCTATTCTAGGGTAGGCATGTTTGTTACTAGCTTCCACGCAAAAACAACTAAACCGATTAACATGAAATTTTGTACACATGTTCTTTGAGTTATCAGAATGAACATAGGATACTTTTTTATTAAAAAAAAAAATATTTTTTTTATAAAAACCAAAAAATAATATATCATCATTTTGCTACTTCACTGCCATCTAGCGGTCAAGAATGAAGTTATGCGAGCGAAGTCGCGAATCCAATAATTTTTGTAAACCCATTTTTTTAAATTATCGGATGCTCCACAGATGGGTCCAAATCCATACCTGTGAGAAGTCAAATTGGTCCCACAGTTGGGGCGTTAATGTCATTTTGACGGCCAACATTTGAGAGGTTAATTAAAAGATATTTACCACATGATTCGACTAGATTTCATCTAATACTTCCACACAAACCGACTCCATAGGAAATGACCATAAAAAACCTTCGTGTCAAGACTCGGACTATATTAATAACGTGTATCAAAATGAATGCGAAGGTTTTAAAAAAAACCAGCGTATTCTGTGACGTCATTAGGTAGTAATAAGTATATCGAAATGTAACAGTAGAGAAGAGATGTACAATGGTTTTTACGAGCGCTTTTAAGCCACGTCTCTGGTCCAGAGCAACCTTTCCAGCTTTTCCGTTTATGTCGAGAAGAGCTTATATTTTCAATTATGGTGTTTAATTCACTGGACTGTAATACGATGTAGTCACACGGATTCGTTCGCAATACACGCACCTATACTTAGACTATCATTTCTTGCAAAATTTCCATTAACGTTATAAATTTCCTAAAGATTTTTTTCGCGATAAAAAAATATTTACAAAACTCTTCGATTCGAATATCATCCCTTACTGTGCCCATTAATTCATCCGCATCAGTATTTTAATCGTCTAATATAAAAAATTGGCCGAATTTACTTAAAGGGTGACGACCTCCATTGAAATTCACTACTTACACCCTTACCCTTTTATTCATAAAAATAAAAACAAAATCCTCAACTATTGGACTGTTATGTCTCTTTCTTCCATATGAAAAGCTTAGCTTGTAAGAAGAGGACGGAACAGTCCAGTAGCTTTATTGTATCACTTTAAAACTTGGTCATTTTTACACTGATATTCTTATACTTATGTATGAGTGTATAATGTTTTTTTTTAACACTGAAGTTGTAGCGATTATTACTTACTCCTAAGACATCTTCATAAAGTCGTAACAATTGTAGTAAAAGACAAACATACAAGATAAAGAAATTTCCATACACAGTTATAAAAATATTTGCGTAAAATACTTTTATTAAGTATTTATATGTATATCTTTATGAATAATTGGGTATCATCATTTTTCTTCATCATTTCTCCAACAGTTCAATTTTATTCTTCATTACATACAAAATCAGAATACATATGTAAATAAATACGAACAGATAATGATTCTGGTATGTAGAAATTTGCCTGTTCACACCTACTCCATGCTTCATACATTTGATCTAGTAAAACTTAGTGGTCTCGACTTTCCTGAGTATTAATTTGTCTTACTTTTAATTATTATGAGGGAGTAATTGAGAATACGTTATGTAACCATGTTGTAATCCTACATTGTATTATTACTTATTGAATATTACTTTGACAATATACTAATATCATATACATACATACATATATAACATAGAACTTATCACTGATCTGTAATTTATCGGATTACAAGATCCGTATCCGTATCCGGACTATAATAATCATTCCTATAATCCGACAAATACGATGGTCCGACATCCCTGCAAAACGTTTGTCCATAACCGGGGGTCCACTGATATATATAATATAAAGAATCATCATTCTGATCTATAATTTGTCATATTACAAGGTACTCTTTTGTAAAAACATTCGGACTATCAGGGGTCTTAGGCAGTACTCTATAATCCGACAAATTCGATAGTCCGACACTGCCCTGCAAAATGATTGTCGGACTACCGGGGGTCCACTGTACTTTCATTTCCCATCCAACGGTCTGTCAGTGCACTTCATTTATTCTTCATTCAAATAAAACTCATATAGCATATACAGAAATTATAGTAATAGTTTCTGTGCGCATTACACGGTCAATGTTATAAATTTTATAACATGGTCATATAAATAAAATAAAGAAAGCTATAAATATATATATATATAATTTGTTGCTTTCAATATATATAGACTTACAATGTGTCTGGATTTTCAGAATGTAGTAAAAAGCAAGCAGGAAAGAAAAAACGAATACCCCTATGTAGAAAATAAAAACTCTTACATCATATCGGCATATATATTGAAAGCTACAAATTTGCGTGCAAACCTCTACTGGACTATCAAAAAAACCTTTTAATAATTTTATTTTGGTACATTACTTATTTATTTAGTACACATCGTGACGTATCAATGTTAAAAGAGTATGATGGAAAATCGTAGAAAGTAACGGAGTGAGCTCCGACAAGAGCGTCGCTCTTAATTTATGAATGAATGAACATTAAAAAAATCACTTACATTGAACCGAATTCTCGCTTTGAACTTTAAAACGACCTTTCGTACATTCCACTCTTTCATTCCTGACCGTTAGATAAAAATTTAAAACAAAATTACCAGTCACATATCAGTAATAATCATTACACAACCAATAAAGTCAGCATTTTATTGTGATTTCACATCATTTATGTAACTTCGAGAACTTATATCCTTTCAAATTCTGTACATTAATAGATAGATAGATAGATAAAACATTGGCGTAGTTAAAACGAAGTTATATATCGCGGTCGAAGAATCTAGAAGACAGTTCAAGTCCAATTTTACATATACCGTTGGTGAAGAATGGAGATCACAATTAGACAAGTCCAATATTACATATACCGTCAGCGAAGACAATTAAATAAGTCCAATGTTACATATATCGCTGGCGAAGAATGGAGAACACAATTTGATAACTCCAATGTTACATATACCGCTGGCGAAGAATGGAGAACACAATTAGATAACTCCAATGTTACATATATCGCTGGCGAAGACGAATAAGTCCAATGTATAGGGTCGCATTACATTACATTAGTGGAGCGGGTGGGCGTGTGCGTCGCCGAGGATGACGGCGGCGCGCAGGCCCCGCACACGTAGTCGTCGTCGTCGCGGAGCGCGCCGCGGCTCAGCCCCACGCAGTGCATGTGGAACCACTGGTCGCATCCGCCGTCGCACTGCACCCAGTCCACCTCCTTACCTGCACCCACCACACCCTATATATACATCTGTACAAATGTACTGGCACGTCGATACAGCTCCGCGATAAGGAGCCGTTCAAGTATTACGTGAGAAGATTTATTACAATTATTGAGCCCCCATTTTGCCTTGACAGCAAAAGTAAGCAAAGCTCTTACTCTTAGTCTTAGCCCCCCCATGCTTATATAAACATTTTAAAATTAATTAATTGTTTTTTAGCAAAGGGAATGTGAGGGTTGCATTTCGTGTAAAAAAGTAAATACCTACCGATGACGTAATCATCATCTACACTCCCCTACCCACATGTCACCCCAAATAAGCAAAGTAAAGAAGATCATAAGATTTAAAATAAAAGTTACCGGTGGGGCGCAGGCAGTCTGCGGCTGCGCAGTCCTCGTCGTCTTCCGCCGACGACGGCGATGAGCTGCTGCTTCGACGCTCGGCTGCAGCCCGCCGTCGGGTACCACCGCCACCAGCAGCGCCACCTGCAAACGACCACAATGACGTATTCTTCTCGTAGTAAAAACAAAACATTAAGAGTATGTATGTATGTGATCCCTAAATTGTCTTCTTATATTTCCTAGTTATTAAGTCAAAGAGAAAGGAACAAACTAGAATCTTTTGAAATGTGTTGGAAAAAGATAAAAAAAATTGCTGGAAAGAAAAAGTAAGAAATGAAGAAGTATAGAAGAACTACACAGGGTGAAAAGCAAAAGTCGCTGTCGCTGTCTGTCCGTCCCTATGTATGCTTAAATCTTTAAAACTTCGCAACGGATTTCGAAGTAGTTTTTTTTAATAGATAGAGTGACTCAAGAGGAAGGTTTATATAAATACATGTACACCCGTGCCAAGCCGGGGTGAGTAGCTAGTACAATATAAGATAAACGAGTGAAAATGTTAGCACACTTAATACGGCGCATGTGAATATTATTATTAAGGGGCAACTAGAAGTGTACGATAAACCATAATAATAATAAATTTAGTTTTCTTCGCTACTAGATGGCGCTAAGACAAAATTACAACGCGATATAGTTTCGTTTTCTTGATTTATTATGTCAATTGCCTTTCAACCGTTAAAAAAAGTTCAAAAATCAGTGCAGTGTTTGTGTTGTGAACAAGAAGTAAAGAGGCGAAGGGAAGACCAAGGCACAGTTACTTCAAGCTAATTATAACCAAAACTGGAGCAGTTGTATCAACGTTTAAAGAGCATGATGGTAGATCGTGGAAAGTGGCAAGAGCTCAACCGACAAGAGCGTGGCTCTTAAATTAAGAATAAACATTTCCTAGTATATTAGTTGTTATCGCTATAATATCAGCTCGTTTGAGATATCTCCACGTCTTTATTCTGCGTATCAATAAGTTTGTATTCACATATTTCGACTTAAAAATGTAAAGTTACAACTAAATTATTTAAAAGAGCAACACACAAGTTTCTTGCTCGTTCTTCTTGTGATGAGACAGCTTTCCAAATGAGCGGTAGATTAAATAATTAATCACTATTCAAAACTGCTTCAATGTAAATTTATTTAGTTAAATGACATTCTATTCTACTCTTTCTGAAAATTTTTATTAAAAACGGGACAAAATTATGAAGTGATAAGTTAACCACTTACCGAGCCTGGCCTGCCGCGCGTGCTTGCCCCTGGTGGATGCGGCCAGTCCTCGTTTGCGGCGCTCCTGCCGCGCCATGTAGTGCTTCCTCATCATCAGGCCTGAGCCTGACGACACACCCTGCCGATACACAAATACTAGGTTATACGCGACTCACATTAGAAAATATATGGATGTGTTCTTAAAAAATTAATGTTTAAAATTTTGATGTGTAATTGTTAGTTGAAATAATAAACTTATACAATTAACACAGCGCCATCTAGTTACAAGCTAAGCAGAGCTTGTGTTACAATGTACTGTACAATGTAAATTCATACATAATAGACGTAGAAAACACCTAGAAAACTATACAGCACGTAAAACCCTGGGTAGGCGAACCTTTATGCATCAACGTGCCATTTTTTCCAAAAAATGTTTAATGGGGTCATTGACGTGCCATCAAACAATTTTGACTTTTTGATTATTTGAAAAATAATAATAATAAATACTATCATATATAAATAATAATATATAATATCGAATTCAAAATCACATTTTTTTTTTCGGACTATATGCTGTTGGCCGCAGCTGACCTTTACAACTTCACCGGACGATAGCGGGCGAGCGCAGATGGCACTCCAAACCAAAGTAAGGACTTATGGTGCGATTAAAGGCCAACTCCCGCCGGACGGATACGAGTTTAGTCTGAGGACACCGCTAGGGGTTCGAACCTCGGCTCAGGCCGTCGTAATATTGATCCCCGTTTGAATTGGACGGGGGATCGATCGGAGGAGACAAAATGACAAATTTCCGATAAAATCAAATTACACATTTTAAAATAAAGCATCAAGTTAATTTATTTCATTCGAGATTGAATGATTTGAATGTATTGTAACAGAATCATAACAATATTAGTAATAATATTATTAGAAAAAATATTGTTTTAGTATAACATACCTGTTTTCTGTTTAAATAGTTTGTGGTGGTAGCGGAGCCGCGTTTTAATGTCGCTTTTGGTGCCACCGTAGCTGTAAAAGAAAATAATTTTAATAAAATTTCTACAGTCGATAGAAATTAAGTATATGAAAATAAAACAAAGGAGAAAACTCTCAGGTCTCAAAATTCACAAAGGTTAAGGGTGACAGATAAGGTATACCGTAAGGTCCATAACCTGGACCTTACGGTATACACAGGAGATGATAGTGTAGTTAGTGATGTCAAAGAAAATACATGAAAAAGGACGGGTTTACAATATTCGAATAATCCTTACATTGGGTACTCCGCGCCTTAGTGTATCTAAAAACAAACTACGTCGTATTTTAATATATTTTTAAAATAACGGCCTTTTTTACGCTAATGATGGGCAGGTGTCGGGGCGCGCGCTGCGGTCAATGGCGGCGCCCCGCGTCCATCACGTCGTATACGATACGTACGCATAGATGCGGCCTAAATGCGCTCGTGGGCAGGTGTCTAAACAGCGCGCGCTGATGTATTAGTCTCTTGCGGCGCCCCGCGTCCATCACGTCGTATACGATACGTACGCGCTAGATGCGGCCTGGTGCGCTTGGTGGGCTGGTGTCGGGGCGCGCGCTGCGGTCTCTTGCGGCGCCCCGCGTCCATCACGTCGTATACGATACGTACGCGCTAGATGCGGCCTGGTGCGCTTGGTGGGCAGGTGTCGGGGCGCGCGCTGCGGTCTCTTGCGGCGCCCCGCGTCCGTCACGTCGTATACGATACGTACGCGCTAGATGCGGCCTGGTGCGCTTGGTGGGCAGGTGTCGGGGCGCGCGCTGCGGTCTCGCGGCGCCCCGCGTCCATCACGTCGTATACGATACGTACGCGCTAGATGCGGCCTGGTGCGCTTGGTGGGCAGGTCGATCGGGGCGCGCGCTGCGGTGACGGCGCCCCGCGTCCATCACGTCGTATACGATACGTACGCGCTAGATGCGGCCTGGTGCGCTATTGAATGGGCAGGTGTCGGGGCGCGCGCTGCGGAGAACTGAAGCGCCCCGCGTCCATCACGTCGTATACGATACGTACGCGCTAGATGCGGCCTGGTGCGCTTGGTGGGCAGGTGTCGGGGCGCGCGCTGCGGTCTCTTGCGGCGCCCCGCGTCCATCACGTCGTATACGATACGTACGCGCTAGATGCGGCCTGGTGCGCTAGTAAAATTTCGCGCGCTGCGTCGGCGCCCCGCGTCCATCACGTCGTATACGATACGTACGCGCTAGATGCGGCCTGGTGCGCTTGGTGGGCAGGTTCACGCGCGCTTAAGGCGCCCCGCGTCCATCACGTCGTATACGATACGTACGCGCTAGGCGGCCTCCATAACGGGGCGCGCGCTGCGGTCTCTTGCGGCGCCCCGCGTCCATCACGTCGTATACGATACGTACGCGCTAGATGCGGCCTGGTGCGCTTGGTGGGCAGGTGTCGGGGCGCGCGCTGCGGGCTGCGGCGCCCCGCGTCCATCACGTCGTATACGATACGTACGCGCTAGATGCGGCCTGGTGCGCTTGGTGGGCAGGTGTCGGGGCGCGCGCTGCGGTCTCTTGCGGCGCCCCGCGTCCATCACGTCGTATACGATACGTACGCGCTAGATGCGGCCTGGTGCGCTTGGTGGGCAGGTGTCGGGGCGCGCGCTGCGGTCTCTTGCGGCGCCCCGCGTCCATCACGTCGTATACGATACGTACGCGCTAGATGCGGCCTGGTGCGCTTGGTGGGCAGGTGTCGGGGCGCGCGCTGCGGTCTCTTGCGGCGCCCCGCGTCCATCACGTCGTATACGATACGTACGCGCTAGATGCGGCCTGGTGCGCTTGGTGGGCAGGTGTCGGGGCGCGCGCTGCGGTCTCTTGCGGCGCCCCGCGTCCATCACGTCGTATACGATACGTACGCGCTAGATGCGGCCTGGTGCGCTTGGTGGGCAGGTGTCGGGGCGCGCGCTGCGGTCTCTTGCGGCGCCCCGCGTCCATCACGTCGTATACGATACGTACGCGCTAGATGCGGCCTGGTGCGCTTGGTGGGCAGGTGTCGGGGGCGCGCGCTGCGGTCTCTTGCGGCGCCCCGCGTCCATCACGTCGTATACGATACGTACGCGCTAGATGCGGCCTGGTGCGCTTGGTGGGCAGGTGTCGGGGCGCGCGCTGCGGTCTCTTGCGGCGCCCCGCGTCCATGACGCGCGCCCCGCGCCGCCCCTCGGCCGCGCGCGCCGCCCACACCGCCGCCCACACCTGCGCCTGCTCCTCCAGCCGGACCTGACCACGGACACACGTTTACTCACTACCTACTCCAAATAGGTAGTTTTTCGGTCCGTCACGCCGTCATATGATCCTCCCATATGATGGCGCGAGGGACAAAAAAATAAACTGACTCGTGTCTAAATACCAGTAAGAGGATCATACAATGACATCAGATAGTGAATAACGGACTGTAAAAAAAATCTGTTTATTACTACAATTTAGACATTACATTTACCTCACTAGGTTTTGCTGTGAGTCATATAAAAATAGACTATATAATGACATCAGTGAGTAAAAAGTAGACTTTAAAAATCTCCCAAACTGTTTATTACTGAAATTTAGATTATATTACTTTAACCCAACATTAATAAATACGCAACACTTATGCAATGAAACTAAAAAAATGCGCGTAAAATCGGACCGACGGCAATTAGTTCATGGTTACAGACCTCCAGGAGATCACCCTCCAGCATGAGGTCTTCCAGCTTGTGCAGCACTGCGGGCGCAGGCCTCGCAGACGTGGTTCGTGGCGTAGCGCTGTACGCGTGCTCCACGCTCGCAGACGATCTGTAAAACGAACACACTGTTATATGAGAAATTTCACGAACGTCCATACATTTAGTGCCAAATTGAAATATAGACTATAGACTGACAAAATCTATATTTTAGACTAGCTGTTCCCGCGACTTCGTACGCGTGGAGTTTAACTTTATTTTTCTAAAATATAAGTAACGTAAGTTACTTCTTATTACATAATCTACCTGCCAAAAAAAGTCCCGTCAAATCGGTCCAGCCATTTCAGAGATTAGCCTGAATAAACACACAGACAGGCAGACAGACAAAAATTGTAAAAAATGTTATTTTGGTGTATATACTGTATTTATATTCATATGCATTGGAAAAAACGGTTAGTTCAATATTACAAACAAACACTCCAATTTTATTTATATGTATAGACTAGATTAAAAAGACTATATAGATATAGTCTTCTAATTCGATAAAATAATTGAATTTACATTTATATTTTGTTGTATATGTTACCTGGGGTTTTGTGACATGTGCGTATCGTGTACTCTTCCTGTTGCTTTCTTTAATTCTGCATTTAATTTGTCAGCTTTTTCTCTATTTACCTGTACAAAAAAAAGCATTATTAGAAATATGTACAATAGTCCGTCGCAGTCCAATTTATGTATATTTAAAACAATTTATACGAAATTCACATTATCCGGTTCGAAGGATCATTCCGTATAATACGAAATAATTTTTAGAAAATATGTATTATTTAGTTCTTTTTTTCAATATATAACTCGCTCGTTGGTCGGTCTGGACCACTGCAGCGCCTCGCCCTCCGCCAGTAGTACAGTAGTACAGTAGTAGAGTAGTACAGTAGTACAGTAGTACAGTAGTAGAGTACCTGCGCGTGCTCGGGTAGCGCGGCGAGCGCGGCGCGCGCGGCGTCCTGCCAGGCCATGGCGCGCTCCGTCACGCACTGCAGCGCCTCGCCCTCCGCCAGTAGTACAGTAGTACAGTAGTACAGTAGTACAGTAGTAGAGTACCTGCGCGTGCTCGGGTAGCGCGGCGAGCGCGGCGCGCGCGGCGTCCTGCCAGGCCATGGCGCGCTCCGTCACGCACTGCAGCGCCTCGCCCTCCGCCAGTAGTACAGTAGTACAGTAGTACAGTAGTAGAGTACCTGCGCGTGCTCGGGCAGCGCGGCGAGCGCGGCGCGCGCGGCGTCCTGCCAGGCCATGGCGCGCTCCGTCACGCACTGCAGCGCCTCGCCCTCCGCCAGTAGTACAGTAGTACAGTAGTACAGTAGTACAGTAGTAGAGTACCTGCGCGTGCTCGGGTAGCGCGGCGAGCGCGGCGCGCGCGGCGTCCTGCCAGGCCATGGCGCGCTCCGTCACGCACTGCAGCGCCTCGCCCTCCGCCAGTAGTACAGTAGTACAGTAGTACAGTAGTACAGTAGTAGAGTACCTGCGCGTGCTCGGGTAGCGCGGCGAGCGCGGCGCGCGCGGCGTCCTGCCAGGCCATGGCGCGCTCCGTCACGCACTGCAGCGCCTCGCCCTCCGCCAGTAGTACAGTAGTACAGTAGTACAGTAGTAGAGTACCTGCGCGTGCTCGGGTAGCGCGGCGAGCGCGGCGCGCGCGGCGTCCTGCCAGGCCATGGCGCGCTCCGTCACGCACTGCAGCGCCTCGCCCTCCGCCAACCGCACCGGCAGCTTCTGCAGCCACACCTGCGACCACATACCGTCACACGTTACTTCACATCCTACCACACATCTCCAATAAGATGGTAGTTAGTTACCATCAAAAACAAAAACTTCTAGATGCAATCAAATGAAAAGTAGTAAACAGACGAGCAATATCACAAATTAATGTATAAAATAAGCTACCCATACTATTTGTGAAAGCCTGTCAGTGGCTTAGTATGACATTTATATTAATTTTATTTAAGTATAGTCAGCCTTGGTTTTCCTTTAACAAATAAATAAATACGTCTAGTAGAAAATAACGTAAAAAACTCACCAGCAAAGCCAGGATACGGTCGAGTCGCGGGCGTTTAGTACGCACGCAGTCGGGACACAGGAACTTGGGTTCGGCCGGGAACGGTACATCTACGCGCTCGTTTCTATCGCGATCCCGTTCCGGGGACTCCTCTCTTTCGTCTTTGGCCGCGGCGATGCACGACGCTGTAAACATGACAATAATTAGTAATATTCGCTCTAATGTCAGGTCTAAATTGACTGAAAAAAGGTACAGGCAGGTACCGTGGAACCAGTCCTTGCAGAGCTCGCACTGCGTCATGACGCCGTACTGCCGCTTCTGGCACACGCAGAACGTGGGCACCGTCCCCGCGCCTCCTCCCCCGCCGGAAGCAGCAGCCGCGCCGCCTGATGTCCGTACTTCTTTGCGCATATTACGCGCTCTATAACAATATGTTAAGTATTGAATTTCCATTAAATTGAGCCAAAATATATGATAGTTTATATGCCAAAATTTGGTGGAATGTGGGAGCCAGATGTGAAATCAGTGAATTACTCGACGTACTTTAGAGTATGTTCATCGACCTTAAGGCGATGATATACGGTGTAGGTAGGTAATAGGTAGAAGTATTTTTAAATTACAGACCTCAATCAATTTAAAATGATAATACTGAGAGTTCAACATTATCAATTCTTGAGAATTTTTTAATTAGCGAACTTCTGATACTAGATCTGCGCTTAATCGTAATTTTACTTCAAAAAACAGACCTTCATAAAGCAAATTAAAGTTACTAATATCAATCACTTGCATTTTTTTAAAATGACTATCATTTCACATGACCAGTATTACCTAAGTTCCTTGATGGCGGTGAGCTCGCGGTGCTCGGCCTGCTTGAAGGCGGCGACGATCTCCGTGGGCGTGGAGTCCTCGCTGAAGTTGCGCAGGAACTGGTCGGCCTCCAGCGAGGAGGGCGCGGGCTCGGCGCCCCCGGCCGCGCCCCCCGCCGCCGCGCCCGCGCCCCCCGCGCCCCCCGCCGCCGCGCCCCCCGCGCCCCGCCCGCGCCGCCGCGGGGCCGGCGCGCTCTCCGTCCGCGGGGACAGCGCCTCCAGCAGCGAGTACGGCCAGCTCTGTCAATAGTCCACGATTACACTTTGTACTACCTACATAGATATAACGGTTAAGATATAAGTAAACACGTGGTACCCCTCGAGTGTTGTCGTTCCTAACGGTTAAAATACCATTTACCCTGCAATTTCACTGTCATAACTCGTGCTTCAAACGGGAACAGAAATATCTAAGATGACGATTTTTTCAAACTCTACCTCACCCGTTTCAGAAGTAGAACATAATGTTAACACTAAAGACAATATTTCCTATTGTCAAAACACATTTCTCTCTTCTATTTAACAGCAATAAGTTCTGGACCTGTTTTTCAATTAATTACCTTTTTCAGGAACATTTCCGCGGCGCCCCTCTTCCATTCCTTAGCTGAGAGTAATGCGGCTGCGAGCTGATCCTTCTCGTACAACGCCAGTGGTATTGATTGACTGCGCTTCACTAGTACTTCCACGCTGTGCATGTACGGGTATAGATCTTTGGACTGCATTTCTTCCACCTGAACAAAACGACGTCACTATTTAGATAGATAGATAGATAGATAATTGATTTATTGCCAACATAACACAAATAATACAATTTACAATAACACACAAAACAAGAAATAAATAATAACATGGAAGTTGGCAATAGGAGCTGCCTCAGCTGTTGCTGATATAAGCACAACCTTAGTGAGGTGCACCTATACAGCGCTGGTTTTCAGGCAGCCCCCATTACTCATAAAAAAAAAACTAAGATTTAAAAGGTTTGTAGCAAGTTTCTACACGTGCTACCATCCACTTCCTAGAATCCTTATCGCACGGCACGTGTAACATTATAAACACAGCTGCGCGACCTTCAGGCCGTTGTTACCTGCAGCTGCGCTTAAAAACGACACGTATAAAATGGTATATAAAGCAGAAATATTTTTACAATAAAAACCCCCGTCCAATTCAAACGGGGATCGAAATTACGACGGCCTGAGCCGAGGTTCGAACCCCTAGTGGTGCCCTCAGATTAAAGTCGTATCCGTCAGGCAGGAGTTAGCCTTCAGCCGCTCCATAAGTCCTTCTGCGGGTTTGGAGTGGCATCTGCACTCGCCCCATAACGTCCGGTGAAGCTGTAAAGGCTAGCTACGGCCAACAGCATTAGAGTAGTCCGAAAAAAAAAATACAATAAAAACACTTATATTCTGTCTCTCGGCTGTATCATTACAAGCTCCCAGGTTCTCAACCAAGTAGGTCACAAAACTAACCCTAAAGGGGAGTGTACACACAACTCTTTAAAGGTTTGATAATGAAAATTAACACTAACTGCTGCGAATTGGCAAGTCAGTCGCAAGTCGAAGGATTCGCTATAGCGTGCGCACTTTCACTCGCCTGGCGTTGGTTAGTACGTATATATATTGTATATACGCGCAAACAGATCAAGCGAGACTTGTACTTACATAGATTTTTCCAACGCTTGTATACTAATACAATTGTTTCGTTCCGCAGTTAAAGTGTTAAATATATACTAAAGACATAAAAAGAGTAATATGTAAGAAGTTTGAGTGACAATTCATAAATAAAGAGCGCTCATCACAGACATGCTTCTTTGCAACTTGTACGGTACAAATTAAGACAACAGTATCGCTCAGTCAATCAGTCGTACAAAATTTTATCATTTCTTTAAATAGAAAATATATTTTATATTTAAAATTTGATATACTTCTATAAAATTTCCTTAGTAAACTGCAAATATTGGTCCTTCGAGCCGGATCTTCCAAACACCTATGGTTCCAATACTAAAGTGTGTTGCAAGATTACAAGAATGTACTCTCCGAGTGTGTTGCCGGGGTGCTAGACGTTATACAAAGGCGTAAATATGTAGGTACGGTGGATAGAGAGCGCGCGTACCTTGGCGAGCCAGTCGCGGGCGTGCGTGAGGGCGGCGGCGAGCGGTGGCCGCGACGGCAGCGCGGCCTCCACGCGGTCGGCGTCGGCCACCAGCGCCTCCAGCTCGGACAGCGTGCTGTAGTGCGCCGCGCCCCCCGCACCCCCCGCGACCCCCGCCGACCCCTCCACCAGCACCGCCCGCGCCCGCGTCTCCCACTCCTCCACTTGACCTGTCACAGAAACCAACGTATCGATACTAGCTCGGCGCCATCGGCACCCAAATCGAGACTTGTGGGTACTGTGTGCACAACTGAATATACAGGTTATTATGTTATGTTAGTCAGACGGAATATACTAAGGCTAGCACTGTAACGTTACTCATAACCCGCGTGATTAGTTCTGAAAGTAATGATTTTTTTTTATAATTTAGTCGTACAAAATAAAGTATTATTTATTATAAAATCGACAACGAATAGGTCTTTAATATTAAATCAGCTGACGTTCTTGATTAGTAGAATTGCATAACAACTAAAAGCATGCCTCCGATTTCTAAGATGGAACATTCCAGATAGGGCATCATATTGCTTATCAAACAAGATGTGCACAACTTATTAAATTTAACCAATACCTTTGAGCTTGTACAACATCGCCCGTTCCACCTCGACCCTGTGATGCGGCACCACCGTGCCCCCCTCCTGCAGAAGCCTGTCGATAACCTCGGGGCTGAGTGTGGAACAGTCCTCGCGGTACGACCGAACCTCTTCTATAAACTTGACCTGCTGCAGCCGCGCTTGTAACGCCGGCAGTTGTGGCAGGACTATGCACAATTGTGAGCCCAATTCTACCACCTGTTTAACGTTACAATTTATCATATTATGGTATTGTACTTGACAATAATATTGTAGTGAGGGTACACGAAAATTATACCGAACATAATCAGTAATAGACTCGAGTCTTCTTGTAAATCATTGCTGCACTGTTTACTCTTTTACCATATAAATTATTATCACCATTAAAAAATAGGGGTTGATGGTAAAGGGTGAAAATATAGGGTAATATGTATTTGTACAGTATGGTAATAAAAAAGAATTAAAGAAAAAATATTCGAGGTGGGCCACCCTTATCAATTAGGAGTATAAAATAGATATAAAACTATTCTCAGATCTATCGAGTAGACATATAAATTTTCATTATCATGTAACAAAATTTTTATGTATTAATATTTTATTAATTTTTAAACATGTGATTTTTTTGTTTTGTTTTGTGTGTTTTAATTATATTGATCCATTTTTATTTTAAATCGATAATAACTGTAAGTATCTATCAAATATATACCATTTCATTTCACTATATCTGTTTAAAAAAACTAACAATATCAAGTGATACACACCTCCTCCAATTCCCTCATATAAGTAGAGTCAGTCTTATCTAAGTCTTTGTTGAGGAGTTCTGTAGCTCGACTCTCGAACTCTGAAGTTTGCCGCAACACTTCCTTGACTGCTGAACCTGGTGACACAGAGTATATATTACAACTAACTTCTAATGATGATGATGTAATCCCGGCCGATTTCGGCCACGGCAACTGTCTTCAACTCCGGTTTTGTCTTTGATGTGCTCGCATGTGACTTATGTACCCAATTGTGTTTGTAAAAATCCTCGCACATTGCGGGCATGTGAGCATAGATAGCAGATAGCCGCAGGTGATCTGGCTTTCAGCTCGTCGCGTCTGGCATCCTAACATTTAATGACGTGATATAATTATTACTTTATCTCTACAAAGTAGGTGTAATGATGAACATCACTGTAAGACTGGTTATCTTATTAGTCTGTAGCGCAGTGGCTATCCCCCCACGACTGCAGCGTTACTTATTTGTTATCTGTAGCATCTAGGTAGTGAGTATATAATTGTACTATTTATTGTATGCTAGCTACTGGCTTTGGAACAAACATATGGCAAACCTAGGCCTATGCACAACAAAAATCTGCAGATTTGGCAAATTGAAGAGCAAACGCCACTACATATTCTATGTGGTTGTAGACCACACATCTATAAACGAAATATATCCTTTGGAAAGTTTACACTCTTTCTTGAGGAGATAAAAACCATCGGTCCTGAGAACATCCTTCAATGTCCTACCTGTCGGGTCTAGGCAGCGAACTTTGTAAAGGGCACAATAGGTCTATGCAGGTCGCAGTGTCACAAGTCTTAGCAACTATCAATGGTCCAAAACCCTCAATAAAAGCAATAGATACCTTCAGGCAGCACGCAGGCGAGCCCGTCGATCTCGGCCGCGAAGAGCGTGAGCTCGTGCAGCGTGAGGCGGTACTTGGGGTCGTGGTGCCTGGTGCGGGTGCGCATCTTGTTGAGGTCGAGCTGTGCGATCACGGACGCGCACTTCTCCGCGTCCTCGATGCCCGTCTCCAGCGCGCGCACCAGCTCCGTCTTGTGCATCTGTGACGACACCCACACCATATAATTATAATCCAATAGGACAATAACATTCACACAGCGCCCAAGTCCCGAGTTAAGCTAGCTAAACCAACTGTTAAAACCATTTGGGGGGAAGGGGATTGTTAGTAATGTGGATTGATAACCCCATTGCTAGCAATGTACCTTGTCATCAAACGTGGTTCCCACCCATCGTGTTTAATATAAAGAATTTGTCACGATGGGCTAACTGACCTGACCTCATGCTCATCTTATCATCCTCCACTGGTGCACCGCCAGCGTAAACCGTTAGCGCAGGCGGGTGCACCATTCCATTATCATCCCCAAAAAAAAATGTTTAAGCCAATATTGCAGCAGTGGTTTTATGTCATGCACACCAATTATAAATCAAACGCCCACCCATAGTAATATAAAAAAGTTCCGTATACATAACGTTATGGAAAAGGGGATTGGTAGTAATGTGGACTGATGATCTTATTGCTAGCAATGTACCATGTCAGGTTGACCTCGCTTTTCACAGTTCCCCCTGGAAACCATCGTGATAACTTATTGGCGAATTTGTCACGAAGGGCAAACTAACCTGACCTCATACAAATTTTATTATCCTCAACTGGTGCCCCACTAGCGTAAACCGTTAGCATTTCAATATTAGAACATACGCATTCTTTTGACATTTTATTATAGAGAATTATTATAATTAATATCATCATCATCATCATCATCGTCATCGCAGCCCGGAAGACGTCCACTGCTGGACATAGGGCTAATAATATGAATACTTGTTAAATTTAATATTGACACAGATTTAAATTTGCACGCTCAAAGTGTAACAAAATAAGGACTTATGTATTTATTTCTAGCTTGTGGAAAAGAAGAAGATCTGCATCATATTTTAATGGAATGTGTTCGTAACGCATATAAAATAGAATATACCATCCAAGCTTTAATGTTAAATAGGTTAGACGTAGGAGTATTTCATGAAATATTGGCAGAACCAGCTTCCGATGCAGCCAAGTTATTGTTCTGGATGGTATCATATTAGATTAAGTTTTTAGTTCATTTTTGTTATTTAGTATAGGTACGATGGGATTGTCATCGTCACATTATGTGCACAAAAATCCCAAAAAAAAATAAAGAGAATAAAAAAAAAAAAAATTATTTCTATAAACGATATAACCTATTCAAAGAAAATATATAAATAAATACCTTCAAATCGTGCGCTCGCTTCAAATACGCCCTCAGTCCGTCCAAGTCACAGGTCTTGGGCGTGTCCGGATCCAACGCGTTCTGGACCGCCTCCGCCCACTCGCGGAACTCGTCCGACTTCTTCTTCAGTTTCTCCAGCATGGCCGGCAGCTCGTCCAATGTGTACCGGTATCTGTGGAAGGGATAACATTATTGTACAATTCACACAGCGTTATCTAGTCCCAAACTACGCTAAACTCGTGTTATGGGTACTAGACAACTGATATACTTAGATATATTTCGTTGTAAATACATAATATATATATTGAAAACTATGTAATATACATAGAAATCTTAATATATCTAGAAATCTCATTTTTATACTTTTAATGTCCTATATCGTCGGTTAAATAGAAAAATATCATTTTTCAAAATTAGAAGCTAGAATTCCTCCTCTTATATAAGTCAATTAAATTAACTACGTCGTCTTAATCATTATCTAAATACTTTTAAAATGATATATAATACTTCTGTGTAAATTTAAGACTTTGAAGGGAAAAATAATTTAAATAAATTAAAAATTTTCTTAAAAAAATAAATCTTTAGATTGTCTTGTAAAAAACATTATAGATTTTGAATACTGCCATTTCTATTTAACCGTGACATGTGTAATCACGACTTAAATACACGTGTTCTTCGTATTTTTCGTTGAGAATTATTCTAATGATGTCAATGTATTTTTCGTTGAGAATTATTCTAATGATGTCAATTTGGTGAAGTGTGAAGGCCAGTTGTAGCCTATGCAGCTTTATCAGGTATTTAGGGTACCTTCATCTCACGGTACGGGGCGAGTGCTGATGGCACTTCAAACCCGTAGGACTTATGGAACGACTGAAAGCCAATTCCCGCTGGACGCATAGGACTTCAGTCTGAGGGCACCGTGTTCGAACCTCGGCTTTAGCCGTCGTAATTTCGATCCCCTTTAAAATAGGACGGGGAATGTATGCCGAAGGCCAACTTCCACTCGGCGGTTACGACATCAGTCTGAGAGAACCGCTAGGCATTCAAACTAATGTTGAACCCCCTTAGAATAGCAGGGGGGGGGGGTGTAGGTGTGTAGATGAGGGTGTGGTGTGGTACCGGAGCGTGTGCGCCGGCGGCGGACAGCGGCAGAGCAGCGCGTGGTGTCGGAGGCAGGCCACGTGCGTGGTGCAGGCGCACGTGACGCTCGACAGGAAGCACGTGGTCTTGCACAGGTGGCACTGCCGCTCGTCGTCCGGCAGCAGCTCGAACGCCTCGCGCTCCGCCTCCGTCACGCCCTGACCAACAAACATAGCAGTATCATAGCAGTTGCTATTATATTAAAAAAATAATAAGTGTGCATGGCAATAGTAGTTCTTGCACGGAATTTTCATTTAATGTTAGACATAATCATCTATATAAGTATACCGTATAAAGACAGTTTCTTCACACAGTATCCTTACATAGATGAGATTTAAGAATTTAAAAGTTTATAATATAAATGTAAAATATTTTTAAAAACTCTATCTGTTTGTAATATTGAAATAACCGTAATAATAACTAAAATAAGATTTTTTACAATTTTTGTCTGTCTGTCTGTTTGTTCCAGCTAATCTCTGAAATAAATAGACCGATTTTGACGGGGTTTTTTTTTTGGCAGGTAGTTGATGTAATAAGGAGTTACTTAGACTACTTTTATTTTAGAAAAACAAGTTAAATTCTACGCGAGCTAAGTCGCGGGTGCAGCTAATGAACGATAAAAGAAATGCCGGTGGTTATATGAGAATTAATATATTTCAATGCGGTGTTCAACGTGTCAGAGGAGTGGTGCAGGTGGGTACCGGTGGGTACCGGTAATGAAGTTACCCAGTCGAGCAGCCCCTTGCGCAGCTTGCGCTCGTCGTGCAGCATGGTGCGCATGTCGCGGTAGGCTGCGAGCGCGACGCTGACGCTGAGGGAGTCTGCCTGGAGCGCCATCTTGCAGACGAGCTCGTCGTGCGAGAACACGCAGTAGCGCCGCAGCGTCGAGTAGTGACCGATGCACTCGCGGCCCATTTTCAGCTGTACGATTTATCATTTATTTAAATATTACATTCAAATATACCCTCACCACTTTTCCCGGCAATCGTTGCTTTGCCATAAAAATTAAAGTCGCAATTAAAAAATAAAGATTGATGCTAGGCGAAGATTGGGGTTGTATGTATTTTTCAAAATTAAATCATAAAAACAACCCAAAAAATAAAAATGTACCCGCAATCATCATAAGTAATACAGTGCGCTAAACCAATATTTAATATTTAAATTAAGTAACTGTAATGTCAAAGAAGCTGACAAGATGACCCGTTTTTTTTATGTAATTATTCCATTCTGTCAAGTATTACGACCTCTCTCTTTCCCTATAGTAAGATTATTATTTCCAGTCAGTAAAATGACATTTCCAATGTTGCAGGTTTTTAGTCCCAAATAAACAGTGATGTGGTAGAATCGAGTTTTTACAATTAAAAGTTAGTCGAGATTACATTTTTTTTATTCAATATCAAATTGCCTTTATACAAATAAAAATTCTAGTATTAATTCCTCTGAATCTCTTTTTACATTTTTTCCCAGCTTTTGTAATAATGTTATAGTGAGAAATTTTAATATGCTGGTAAAGTCCATATTTCTAAAATCATATTGTTTAATACGATATGTATTAAATATTTAAAATTAAAAAAAAAAGTCTTCGATACCTAATAAAATAAAGCATGACTAAATGTCTAAGTCTATTGATTGCCGGACATCACTATTGTAGCGGGTCACCCTTTTTTGTATCAGTGACAGTTGCACTTGTCATTTTACTGACTGGAATTAATAATCGTACTTTAGCTATATATCCCACATGGTGGGGTCAGCTTTCCTTATTTTTGTGCGCCACTTAATCATGTCCCCAGAGACCTCACACTCTATCATGTCCCTAGCAACATTTTCTCATCCCTTCCTTGGTCTGCCTCTGCCCCTTCGACCAGGAACAGAAAATTGCAGCGCCAGGCTTCCGACGTAATCAGGCGGTTTTCTCTTCACGTGTCTATACCATCGCAGCCTCGCGTTTTCCAGCATTTTTTTGGCAATGTCGCGAACAGCCAGACTTCCTCGTACGTACTCGTTGCGGATTATATCGAGCCTGGTTATACCGCACATCCACCTCAGCATCTTCATTTCAGCAACTTGGATGGTATGTCAAGTATTACAACCAATAATCGTAATCATAATATAGTGTTCGAGCGCTATCGAACATGAGCTATTGACAGCCGCTAGGCCGGGACAGCTTTCACTTTATTTATTTATTTATTTAATTTTAATTCGGATTACATCCATATTGTGTTAGTAAAAACTTATAAAACTATGTTAGTAACTTATAATATACATATACGTAGATATATTTAATTCATATATCTGTGTCCACGTCCAGAAGCACTGGGTCCACAATGCAACGTTATCCAGTGCCTCTGGAGCGGACAATCAGGTATATTCGCAACAGTTTTAACTTTGACTACGACGTACAACGGCGTACCTTATTAATTAGACAATTTGTTCCTTGTAATATTATAACTCCTCGTATTAAATATAATAATTTACAGTCCACTACTCATTTTATTTACGAGTCATCAACAATAGCTTTTACCTTTTACTTTAAAATACTAAACATACATATAGAAATACTAACCCAATCAGCTGGTGTAAAGTTAACAGCCTCCGCGAAGTTGTATCCTTGATTGAATCCAGCGTGATACGCGCGCGGGAACGTTATCACAAACTCGCCGGCGTGTTGATCAGTTCTGAATAAAAAAATATATAATAATAATAATAATAATAATAATCTCAGGACAATTCACACAGCGCCATCTAGACCCAAGTTAAGCTAGCTAAAGCTTGTGTTATGGGTACTAGAAACTGATACATATACATAGATATTTTTTTTTTGTAAATACATATGTACATATTATACATAGAAAACACCCAGACCGATACAAACAATCATACTCATGAATACAAATGTTTGTGCCGTGCGAGGAATCGAACCCGCGACCATCGGTCGTAAAGCGGTGTGCTAGACCGCTAGACCATCGAGGTCATCAAATAATAATAATAATAATTTATATTTTGAATCCAATATTTACAATTTAAATTGTTCCCTGGTACCTAAACTACGTACAAACTTGTATTTTAGGTATCAGTTCCCTCTTCTTACAATTCACAATGTTTGGAATTACAATTTATAACAAGACAATCAAATAAGGTTAACACAAAATATTTACCCCATACCCCATTTAATATAATTAACTACATAATTCATTACTAGTTTCAATTATACAACGACAATTTAATAACTATGTGACGTGGTCGAGTCTAAAATGTCCAGACATGTGGCGGCGTGGTGGGCCGGGTCATTGGGCTCCCTAAGACCATATGGTCGAGCGCAGTGATGGCTGGCTCATCTGTCATACTCGTGAACGAGTGCTGCTTGTAGGGACTGGTCCGCTCTTATCACTACGACTGATTTAATCTTATTGTGTTTTTATATTTGAGCCTAAATAAATTAGTGCTGGTTGGTAGTTTGTATTCACACGTTTCGACTTGTAAAATGACTGATTGTAGACTCGGGATTTTTGAAGGTATGTAATCACAAACTTGATAACTTCTATCCATATCAAACTAGATTATTTTAACAATAATATTACGTAATACAACTATGGTTCCGTGACTTTACATGGTCCCTATTTAATAATAATAATCTCAGGACAATTCACACAGCGCCATCTAGACCCAAGTTAAGAAAGAAAGATTTTTTTTCGTAAATACATACTTATTATAACACCCAGACCGATACAAACAATCATACTCATGAATACAAACATTTGTGCCGTGCGAGGAATCGAACCCGCGACCATAAAGCGTATTTAATGTACATATATTGCGGAATATTATAAACATTTTAATTAATTTATTATTTAGTAGTTTGTATTCAAAGTTTTCAAAATATAAAGTTTTACAAAAGCAAGATGCAAAGTTCTTGATCATACTACTACGCTGAACCTGCATACTGATCCGATTCCGCGGTAATAATTATACACATATATTATTGATATTTTAATTTCTCTTTACGTTCACTGGTGTTTTAAAATCCTTAAAGGATGCCTAAAACCTACCTGTATACTGGTACCCCAGCCTTCATCAGCACATTGGGGTTCATGATGGTAACAAGCTGATGCAGGAGATCAGGCTGCAGTTGGAACAGCTCTGGTGCTTCCGCCTTCATGGCCGCTTCGAACTGCTCCGCTTTCGAGCTCGGGACACCGTACCTGGGAAAAACAACAACGGGATAGTGTTAAAAAAATTGATATGAAAGAAAAGCAAGAAAATACATTTATTTGATATATCATTACATAGTATAAAACAAAGTCGCTGTCGCTGTCTGTCCTTATGTATGCTTAAATCTTTAAAACTACACAACGGATTTTGAAGCAGTTTTTTTAATAGATAGATGATTCAAGAGGAAGGTTCATATATATAAATATATAAAATTCTCGTGTCACAGTTTTCGTTCCCATACTCCTTTGAAACGGCTTGACCGATTCTCATGAAATTTTGTGAGCGTATTGAGTAAGTCTGAGAATCGGCCAACATCCATTTTTCATCCCCCTAAATGTTAGGGGTAGTCCACCCCTAATTTTTATTTTTATTTTAAGGCAAAACAACGTTTGCCGGGTCAGCTAATATATAATATATGTACACCCGTGCGAAGCCGGGGTGAGTAGCTAGTATAAAATATACAAACAAAACAGATTTTGTAAATACAGTTTGGATCATTATTATGGTACTAAATAAGTATCTGCTCAGTGTAGTTTGCCGTGCTGAGGCACCACGACGCTAGTATTCTACGGGTACCTTTATACATATAAATATAAAAATGGAAGAAATTGTCAAGTACCTTGTTTTTCGTGACTTGTGAGTCACAGATGTCTGTGAGTCACAAGTCATGAAAATCAATGATTGTGATTATTGTGAGTTTGATTTAGCACTAAGCTAAGCTAAGATTTAGTGCTAAATCACTCATTTTCATTCATTCATTCATTAACAGTAATCATGTATACTGACCAGGTCTTGGGCTCCCCCCAGTGCATGTAATTGATGGAGTAGCTCCAATGGTCCTCGTTGTGCCAGCAGAACGTCGCAAAACACATGCCCACGTACAACCACGGGATCTGAAAATAAAGTCAAATTAAAAAAAAATTCAAATTTATTTATTCATTAAAAAAGGTTGATCCTAATTTAGGGTAATAAAGCACTAGACCACGACATCAACGACGTTTTTTTAATAAGTATCTTGTTGTGTACATACCTTCATTCCTGATATGTCAGCATTGATATGTCCCAGCACGGAACCTTCCAGTACGGGCAGATTGTTCAGATTCCAACTTGACTCCACATACTGTTGCTCGCCAGGATACAGATGAGCACTCGCCTTAGTTGGAAACCCTATAATGTTAAAAATATATTGTAAGAAAGATAGAAAAGAAATAAAAGGAAGAAAAGAAAATAAGAAATAAAAGAAAGAAAATAAAAAAAAGAAATATAGTAAGAATATAAAAACTACACAACAGACTATTATACAACGTTCTCGTACAGCTAAAAACCGTACCACATGGTGACAAATTGCGAGAAGCTCTATCACCAGGAAGGATGATGAAGAGAATCCACTGATACTAGCATGAGAGCCACGACCACTCTATCAAGAATGTACGAATAAACAATAAGAAATAAGAATATAACGCTGAGCACAGACTAGTTCAGGTGAGACTTCAGCTTGTTTGCTATCCTGTTTGGTTACGCCAATCTGTGATGGGTCCCGGCTAATTCACTAACCAAGGGGGTAAAGAGGATTGTTAGTAATGTGGACTGATGATCTCATAGTTAGCAATGTACCATGTCAGGTTGACCTCCACGCAGTTCCCCCTGGAAACCATTGTGGTAAATTCTTGGTGAATTTGTCACGATGGGCTAACTAACTAGATGAACATGAGGATGTTCATCTTATCATCCTCCGCTGGTGCCCCACCAGCGTAAACCGTTAGCGCAGGCGCACCATTCCATTATCACCGCCAAAAAAAAATCCCTAACCACTGATACCCTTAGCTTTTGCCATCTTAGCTGTTATGCTTAAGAAATATTACTGAATTCCTGAACTCCTGTAACCGTGTGGGCCCACTGAATTGCTGTTGGGGTAAATCCTTCATTTTTGACCAGCATGTTCCTATATTATGTTACTACGTATATCATAGCCATCGCACCACTGTTCTAAAAAAACTCTTGCAAGGCAGGGCGAAATGACTACTTACCAGAGCCGTGATCCATAGAGTGCAGGTCAGCTCCGTACTCGACGGTGACATCCTCGTCTATGGACGATACCACTCGCCAGAACTCCTTCTCCACCGTCGACGTGGGCACCATCTGATCACATGTGTCATAATTAATTATACCATACATATATGTTTGGGAGAATCTAAATATATATAACTCAAAGGTGACTGACATAGTAATCTATCAACGCACAGTCCAAACCACTGGACGGATCGGGCTGACATTTGGCATGCAGGTAGATGTCAAGACGTAGACATCCGCTAAGAAAGGATTTTGATTAATCCCCAAGGGGATAAAATAGGGGATGAAAGTTTGTATGAAACTTTGTCAATTTTAAACCGATCGGGCTGAGACTTTCCATTCATAAAGTTACTATGACGTAGGCATCCCCTAAGCAAGGATTTTGATAAATTCCACCTCTAAAGGGATAATTTAACGCGAGCAAAGCCGCGGACAAAAGCTAGTTTACTATAAATGTTTATCAATAACTTGGGTAAATATAATGATTGTAATCATAAACTCACATGTACGGGCATGTTGAAATAGTCAGACTTGAACTGGTCCGCCATTTCGCCGAATTGTTGCAGCGTGTACTCCCGGGACGCCTGCTCGAAGCCGAACGCCTCTGTAGGCTTCGATACCTGAATATACACAACCAGTGATTGAACAGTTTTGACGACCTCAGTGGTCTAGCGGTTTAGCTGGCAGACTTGCTGACAATGGAGCTCACGAGTTCGATTACTCGCGGTACAGGCCTCTGTAGTCTAGCTGTTTAGTACACTGCCTTACTTCCGATAGTTGCGTGTTGGATTCCTCGCACGGTACAAAAGTTTGTATTCATGAATAAGATATGTATAAGACGGTATTATCTAATACCTGGATCAACGCGTCTGTCATATGATTTATTAGTAATTATTACTGCTTACCTGAGATTGGTGTGATTAACAGAAATTTAGATTAAATTATTTTCTTTTGACAAAATTTTCAATAACATATCGCCGAAAAAATGGCAGTATTCAAAATGTACATTTTTTATACAAGCTTTTTTTTTCATTTAATTAATTTTTTTTTTAATGTTTTAAATTTACATAGAAGTTTTATATCTTTTTAAAGTATTTATATAATTATTAAGAAAATGCATGCATTGCATGGTTAATTAAAATTTACTTATATAAAAGGAGACAATTCTAACTTCTCTCTCTCTCTCTTCTCCTAATTCTCATAAATTTGAATTTAAACATTAATCTATAGTTTTGTAAACTTCTACAAACTCCTTTAAAAAGAATAGCAATAGCGAGCTGTGTTTCTTGTTAGTTCATCTCAGCTTGAAATCACTCCGAAATGACGGTAGATTTGACATAATGTAACAATCTGTAATAAAATAAAGATAAAAAAGATTGAAGATGCTACCTCCTCGGCGATGCAGACGGGGCACCGCCAGTCGCCCTTGGGTATATCCGCGAGCGGCGGCACGAGACAGAACGTGTGGTATGAGTCGTCGCAGCCGTCGCACAGCAACATCTGCTCCTCGATGTCCCCCCGTCCGCACACGTGGCACATGTATTTCGCCAACTGTATAAACAATCAATTAGTCGGGAGAAGAGGATGTCCCCATGTCAGGTTCACCTCCACGCGGGAGGGGAAAGGAGATTATTTGTAATGTGGACTTTGACCCCATTGCTAGCAATGTAATGAAATGAAATGAAATTTATTTGTTATAAAAGTAGTACATAATAGATGGTATGCTTATTTATGTTATATAGCTCTCACTTTTAGTCTTTACAGACATGCAAATACAAATTTGAATTGATCTATTATTATTCTTTACACAATTCAATTAAATTACATCTTATACATTTATTATTATTATGAAAGTAATAAAATATTTTTTATAAATGTACCATGTCAGGTTGATCTCCACACGGTACCCCCTGGAAACCATCGTGATAAATTCCTGGTAAATTTGTCACAATGGGCTAATTGACCTGAACTCATTTTACGTGTTATCCTCCTCCACTGGTGCCCCGCCATAACCGTTAGCGCAAGTGGGTGCACCATTCCATTATCATACATAAAAAACTTCCATGCGATCCCTCTGGTAATCATGATGTTAAATTAATTTGCCACGAAGGGCTAATCTGACTTCATGTTCATCTTCACTGGTGCTCCGCCAGCATAAACCGTTAGCGCAGGCGAGTGCACCATTCTTCTATCATCCATAAAAATCCTACTGGGCTATGCAATATTGTGTTTTTGGGGCATTATGTTTTGTGACGGAAAATAAAAAAGATTATCACAACACTTCTTTAGCAGACATACTAATTTTCTTGTGCTCTAACAAGTACAGACTGACAGTAATTTTTTTTAAGCAAGCACTAACTACCTACATAAGTAATATTATCATATGGATTTCATTAAATTCTTGAGGATTTATTATATTATTAGTAACAAATTATTTATTTATTCTTTTGCACACAAAAATGTATACAAGGCGGACTTAATGCCTAATAATTATGTGGAGTCACAGTATCAGAGTAGTAGTCGTATGTAGGTTATCATTATTAATATATAAATAAATATGTAAATAATGTAGTCCAAAAATCAAAATAAAGTTACCGAGTATACGGGAATGTGTCATAACGTGAGTATACGCACCGGGTCGTCGGGGTGCGGCAGGGGTGTGGGCGCGGGCGCGGGGGCGGGCGTCACGGACACCGTCATGTTGGACAGCCTGTGCTCGCGCAGCCGGGTCGACCGCGTGCCGCGCGACCGACCCCCGCAGCTCCCCGCCGCCGACATCCACTTGTTCTCGCGGGGACCTGCGCACGCAAACATCCTGTATAACTATCTACGTAGTGGAGTAACTTGGCACAGTCATGGTCGCTATAAAGTTCAAACTTGCGGTGGGCCGTGTGTGATCGCTCTAATATGACGTCTGGCTAATTCATCATACTCGTGGACGGTTGCTGCTTGTGAGGACTGGTCTGTTCGGATTACGACTGATTATACTATTTCCCTTTTACAAAATTGTAATAGCACATGCTGGTAGTCATTCTATTCTCCCAAATTTGATTTAAAAAATGAATCTCTCTTTGCAAATAAGACCTGAGTTCTTGTCAGTTCTTAGCTCGAAAGCACTGAATTGACTGTAAATTTGACATATAAGTGTCTGTAATAGACCTACATGAATAAAGATATGTTGATTTGATTTGATCCACATGTCACATGAAACACCCGTTGTAACCACACGACACCGTCCTCGCCAACGAGGACGACGACCTCAACCACACCAAACCACTCAATCAATCAATAATGCGCGTGCCTGAGTGCTCCACACCGGCGCATTTAGTTGATCTCCCGTCCAATTCAAACCGAGATCAAAACTATAGATTTATTTCGAAATTATTATATATCTAGGTGGGGCTTAAATTTCTGCATATTCATCTTGTCATCCTCCACTGACGCCCCAATAACGTATACCGTTACCGCAGGCGGGTACACCATTACACTATCATACATACATTAAAAAAAATCTATATTAAAACATGTTTCAACGTAAACAGTTATATCTCTATCTATGATAACATTAATTGTTTGTAAAGATCAAATTTAAAATATGTACTGATAACGTTCTAGCTATTTCATCTTATATATACTTGTAAATACATATATACTGTACGTGAAGTATAGTATACCGTCATCATTGCCTTGCCTTTATCCCATTATTTGTGGTCGGCGCAGTATGTCATTCTCTTCCACTACTCTATCGGTCGTCATATCTGAGCATACTCTCCTTTTATTCATATCATCTTTCACACAATCCATCCATCTTTTCTTAGGGCGTCCCCTCCCTTTACATCCATCCACATTCATATTATACATGATCCTCGTTCCTCCGCATAACTTGCCCATATCAGCTCAATCTTTTACCTCACAACTTTTCTATAACCGCAACTTTCAAATTTCCTCGTATATACACATTCCTTATTCTGTCATTGCTGGTGACCCCATATATCCATCTCAACATGCGCACACGCTTTTCGTCCAACTTTCGACCAACATTCAGATCCATACAAAATGAAGTGTGAAGTATAGTATATATACGGTATATATACTATAATAATAGACATCAGGGATTTTAGGGACCTCCGTAACCGTAACCGAAACTATCGGATATCCGATAAAAAAAATTATTCGTAACCGTAACCGAATCAGAAATAAAAGTTTCGGTTAATTTCGGATAGGAGCGAAGCGTAATTGAGACACGTTATGTAACAATTTTATTAGCTATTTGTATTTTATTTTCAATATTCCTTAAAAAAATAATATCCATAACCAATATTATGCGAAACTAACGGATAATCCGAAAAAATTTCATATCCGTATCCGGTATAATAATCATCCTTATGTCCGAAACCTATCCGTATCCGAAATTTCATATCCATAACATCCCTGGTAGACATTGTTAACCTTAACAGCGTCATAAATGTATGTAGATATAATACATAATATGCATATTATAATACAAACAAAATATATTTATATTGTACGAGCATCAAACCCACAGTATACGAAAATGAAACATTGTATAAAACCGCTACACTTGCCGCCAGGTGAACGACCTTGTTGTTTGCGAGTTAAATAAAAACCTATACACAAAAAAATACAGTCAAACTGTAAACCTTTTTATGAAGTTGAACATTCAGAGATCTTATCAGGATAGCGACTTAACAACTAACTCATTTTCCAACTAGCTTTTACCCGCGGCTTCGCTCGCACTGAATAAAAATGTTTTGTTTTTTTTAAAAAAAAGTATTCTATGTTTATTCTAATACCTCCAAGAACATATGTTCTTGGAGGAATGTTCTTGTTCATGTAATCGGTTCAGGAGTTTTAGAGTGAAAGCGAAACAAACATCCCTATTTTCACATTTATAATACTTCGTCCGCATGGAATTTAACTTTATTTATCTAAAATAAAAGTAGGCTAAGTTACTCCTTATTATATCAGCTACCTGCCAAAAAAGTCCCATCAAAATTGGTCCAGCCATTTCAACAAACAGACAGACAGATAAAAATTGTAAAAAATGTTATTTTAGTGTATGTACAGTATTTATATTCATATGCATGTAGTAAAAACGGTTATTTCAATCTGTTTGTAAATATAACAAGTGTTTGAAAAAGTAATAAACATCCTTCCCATACTCACAAACTTTCACTTATAATATTATTAGTAACCAGCTTTTACCCGCGGTTTCGCTCGCGTTAATTTATCCCCTTAGGAGTGGAATTTATCAATCCTTTCTTAGCTCCTCTTACTATGCCTACGTCATAGTAACTTTGTGCATGCAAAGTCTCAGCCCGATCGGTTTAAAATTGACAGTTTCATACAAACTTTCATCCCCTATTTTATCCTTTTGGGGGTAGAATTAATCAAAATCCTTAGCGGATGTCTACGTCATAACATCTCAAGACAATACATGTCAAATTTCAGCCCGATCCGTCTAGTGGTTTGGGCTGTGCGTTGATAGATCACTACGTCAGTCACCTTTGAGTTATATATATTTAGATATTGTGATACTTACTTCGCCTGGTCTCCAGATTCTCCTCCTTGATGGGCGTCTTCATGACGTTCCTCTTGTCGTCGTCAGCGCCTGCGAGCGCGCCCTCCGTGTGGCTGCCCTCGGCCTGCGGCTCGGGCTCGGCCGCCTTGTAGCGGCGCGCGGGCGGGGGGGTGGCGGCCGCAGGTGGACACTTGCCGCCCGAACGGCTGCGGCTGTTCACCTTCTCCGGCGTCTGTTCTAGCTTCACTTCGATTTTCTGAGGAGTATTCATTGAGTCCTGAGCAATAGAGGGGGGTGTCAAGAATTGAAAACGGATAGACAGAAACATGTAGTACCCATCTGTAAATATTGCGAATATGTACAATATTCATTTGAAAAGAATACGAGCTGAGTTTCTTGTCAGTTCTTCTCATCTCGAAATGATTCCGAACTGACCGTACAATTGACGTATCATAATAGTCTGTAATAGACCTACATGAATAACGACATTTGATTTTTTTTTATCATGGTAAAAAAATCTATTATATATAATTCTCGCGTCAGGTTTCATGTTTATACTACTCTGAAACGGCTTGACCGATTTTTATATTATAGTATATAGTAGGCCTGAGAATAGGTTTATAACTAATTTTATACCTCTAAGTGTTTACAGGGTGGCTCACCCAAAAAAATTTTTTGCAGACATTTTTTTTATTATTCATTATGTGGCATTAAAAGTATATACAACAACACAACAATAACGATGTTGACAGCAGCCTATAAATTATTATATCAAATCAACAGAAATAAAACAATGCATTCAATTAGAGATGAAATCATTACATAAAAAAAAGAAGAATAAAATAGAATAGAAAATAATTTATTCAAATAAACTTAATTTAAGCATTGAAAAGTCAACAATTTTTTTTTAATCTACCGCTCATTCGGAAAGCTGGTTAATTACAAGAAGAATAAGCAAGAAACTTGTGTGTTACTCTTTTAAATAAAAAAACAAACAATAATAGTAATAAACTAAAATGCATATCCTATCCACCACTGTGGAGCATCGTCACCGCGACATTGTAAATTGATGTGTCTAAGGCATCTCAGCATTGTGCCATGACTAAAGCCACGATGCTGATTGTCAGTGAAACCCCGAATAAGTGACTCACGGACAAATGCAAATAACGTAAGTTATTTAATAGTAGCTGACTCCGCAAACGTTGTCTTGCCATATAAATTAAAATCGCTATTTAAAAATAGAGGTTGGTTATAGAAGAGTGAAAATTTAGAGTATTATAAAACAATAAAAAAAACTGTCCAAAAAATAAATGTTAGTGGTGGACAATCTTTATCACTTGGGTGTATGAGAGATTGATAGTAGCCGATTCTCAGACCTACTGAATATGCATAGAAAATTTCATAAAATTAGATCAAGCCGTTTAGAAGGAGTATGGTAACTAACATTGACAGGAAAATCTTATATATAAAATTCATGTGTCACAACTCACAATGTTAGTTACCTACTGAAACGACTAGACCGATTTTTATGTCTCTATTTTTAGGTCTGAGAATCGGCTACTATCTATTTTTCATACCCCTTAGTGATAAGGGTTGTCCACCCCAAACATTATTTTTTTGTTTTTTGTCCAAAAATTTTTTTTTATTATGTGTCTTTAAAAAATACAACCCCAAAATTCTCACCTTTCTATCACCAACCCCTATTTTTTATAGCGTTATTAATTTATATTGCAACACAATGTTTGCCGGGACAGCTAGTACATACATACAATCGACTACATACATACTTAACCAATATTTATGAAATTTTATATGCATAGTAGGTCTGAGAATCGGCTACTATTTATTTTTCATACCCCTTAGTGATAAGGGTTGTCCACTCCAAACATTATTTTTATATTTTTTGTTCAAATTTTTTTTTTATGTGTCATTAAAAATTACAACCCTAAATTCTCACCTTTCTATCACCAACCCCTATTTTTTATAGAGTTATTAATTTATATTGCAACACAATATTTGCCGGGACAGCTAGTACATACATACATATTTTAAAGGGTATATATAAATAAATAGAATATGCTGTGTAGACTATATTATTGAATAGCTTAAGGAAATAAATCTGAAGGTACAAAAGATAACTTACAGTTTCCTTATTATCAACAACTCCGCTGTTCTTGAACAGGTCGTACGGATATAGTATCCTCTCATAGTGACTCTTGAGTATAGAGCCTATACCTTTTCCCTGCGGATGGCCCATGCGCCGCGCTATCTTGGACCACTTGCGGTCAGCTGTACACACTTCGAAACCGCCTGTTGATAAAAACAAGATATTAAGTTATGATTATTAATTTATATCTGCAATGCCAAATAAGCTAACGGCCACTCTATTGGTAAATAATGATTGTGTAATCTTACATGAATACAAAAAGAACTAAATTTCAATAATTATTTAAATAATTACAAGTGCACCTGTCCATTCATTACTAGTTACACATATGTATATAGTTTTAAATATAATTTTCCCACGAGACTACATCATGGGGTTCTTCAGGGTATATTAAGGTTTCTTAAGGGTCAGCAACGCGCAAGTGATACCCCTGGTGATTCAGGCGTTCATAGGCTACGGTAACCATTTACCATCAGACGGGCCGTATGCTTGATTGCCACCATCGTAGTATAAAAAAAAATTGTATTTCTATATATCTAAAAATGAACTGCCGTTCATTAGTCTCGCTAAAACTCGAGAACGATTTGGCTAATTGTAGTCTTGAAATATTCGTGGAAGTCCAGGGAACTTTTAAACGGAGATAAAGTATGAAGAAATTGCAAGGAGCATAGCAAAATTATATTTTATTTTCCCAATACAAACTGTCAAACAGGCTGCGTTCAAAAATTTATTGTAACTAAACCCATGTCAGGTTGACCTCCACACGGTCCTGGAAACCATCATGGTAAATTTCCATTTGCTAAGATGAGCTGAGTGACCTGACTACATACATGCTTATTTTATCATCCTCCACTGGTGCCCCGCCAGCGTAAACCGTTAGCGTAGGCGAGTGCACCATTCTATTATCATCCATAAAAAAAACATAACAGAGTTTTAAAAAAATATATCATCAAGGCTATTATAGTATTCCGAACATTCATCATCATCATCATCATCCACGCCCGGAAGACGTCCACTGCTGATCAAAGGCCTCACCCAAAGAAGCCCGAACATTGTTCAATATAAATTCGAGTTGTGGAATGCAGCACTCACTACGCTGGCAGTTCCCTAGATTTTCCATAAACATCCATAAAGATTAATAATAATATAATTATGATAAATTTCATCATACTGACCTGCTTCCCTGACGATCTTGTGTAACGCATACAAGTCTAGAGGCTTCCGTTCGACCGTCGGGATCTTGAGCACAGAGCCCTGCAACTCCCAAAACTTGATGATCTGGTCCAGAAAATTCAGCTTCACGCGCGTTATAGCCTGTGAACAAAATTATTACAAGGAATTATATGCAGCTCCTAGACTTTATATTGTATAGTATTTTGGACACAATTTTCTGCATTCAACCTTTCATTTGGGCCTTGTGCGATTAACTCCTAGACCAAAATTTTTTTTTCAATTATTAGGACATACATACAAACAAATATATCTTACTAATATTATAACTGCGAAAGCTTGAGAGGATGGACATTTGCAACTTTTTCAAGTAATGAGTAGATTTCAATTAACTTAGTTACACATACAAATTCACATTCAAATAAAAAAATAATATGTAGGACATTTGAAATTAATTACATGTACAAATTAATTTAATAATAATATTCATATACCACAATCAAGTTGCTTATAGATATCAATATTGTTGTATTCCCTTTTTTAACCAATCATCAACAAATCATAGATAAATTCATAGATATCCTATATTAAAAAATAGGATATTTTTTACCATAATAACACATAGGTTATAATTTAAAAAGAGATGTAAATTCTTTAAGTAATTCACAATAAATAAATATGATATATATATACATAACTTAATTATACAGCAAAGAACCTAAAATTAGAAACCTTAAAAAATATAATAACTAAAATATATTATTAAAAAGACCACAGTTAGACTAGGTTCGGAAGATACTGGCAGCATTCACCCTTTGAATAGCTAAACTAATTCTTTGTTCGAGTTAGCTGCCAGCTCTTCTGTGATGTCGACTAACCTTTTTACTATTTCCTTAAAAAGTCTTATAGCGCTAGGATAGATATCCATAACGCTACCATAATTAAGAAGAGAAGAACAGATGTGAGCTTTAATAATTTATTTGATTCTACCTCTATATCAAACTGCAGATTGAATCAAGAAGAACGGAGATAAACTCTTTTGAACAAAAGTTATATGAAAATCTCTAGTATATAAAGTTGTCAGTAGACAGGCTGTCAGGTAGATGGAGATAAACATATTAATAAATATTTTCAAAATCATTAAATTATCAATTTATATTAGTATCTACAGTAATCTATTATTATTATAGGACTAGCTGTACCTGCGACTTCGTCTGAGTGGAATTTAAGTTTATTTTACTAAAATAAAAGTAGTCTAAGTTCCTCCTTATTACATCAGCGACCTGCTAAAAAAAGTCCCATCAAAATCGGAATTTCAGAGATTAGCCGGAACATACAGACAGACTGACAATTGTACAAAATGTTATTTTGATGTATGTACCGTTGTTATATTCATATGCATGTAATAAAAAACGGTTATTACAATATTACAAACAGACACACCAATTTATATGTATAGATGTGTAGTAGTGCTTACCTCTAATTCATTTAATCTTTGTATTCGCGGTGTGAACCGCAATTTGTCCACATCCACTGCAAATGGTGGCTGCCAGTGCTGTGAAAATTAAAATATTATTGATGCGACATTTTGAAATAATAATATTATCTTTATTTATGGATTATATATACCATGCACAATGGCATAAACGAGAAGACAATGAACAAATGAGAAAAGATTAATGCCGAAAATATAATCCAACATAGATGAAGTAGCCAGTTGTCAGTGCTATTATTATTAATGTCCAATTTACACTCAGCCCGAGTGGGCAGGGAAGTGATCAGCGCGAGAGTGTATACACGAGTGGAAACACTTCCCATGCCTTTGGCGCTGCCACTCGCGCTGCCCGGCGCTCCCTCCATTGTCGGTTTTTCGTGCGCGACTCAAAGGACTGGCAGCGCGAGTGGCAGGGGAAACCGCTGAATGTAAACTTAGCATAAAAGTCAGTACTTCCTTAGAGAGTACATATACTGATATACTAAAACAATACATATATTTTTTTAATGGAGGATTATAGAATGACGGTGTCACTTGCACTAATGGTTTTAAATCAGGACACCAGTGGAAAAGGATATGATGATCAAGAGGTCAGATCAATTAGCCAAACATATCAAATTCACAAGCAATTTGTCATAACAGTATCTAGGGGGTAACACTTGGACTTAGTATATTGGTTGCAAGTAATTTGTTCACATTACTAACAATTCCTTTTCCCTATATAAAAAATATTAAAAGTGCTGGAGTGAGAGGGAAGGCACTCTACTATTAGTAGAGTGACTCCATTGCTAGCCTATTCAGTCAAGCTCCATATTGTGGATAATTCCTGCTAAATTTGCCACAATATTCTAACAGACACTTAATACTCATTCTGTAATTCTCCACCAGATTTCCACCACTATATATGTTTCCACCACAGCATTATTAGCTATAATATATATAATACTAGCTGTCCCGGCAAATGTTGTGTTGCCATATAAATTAATAACGCTATAAAAATAGGGGTTGATGATAGAAGGGTGAAAATTTAGGATTGTATGTATTTTTGTATGTTCTATCATAAAAAAATAGAAACTAAACATGTCTGTCATGTCTAAAAAAAATTTTAAAATATTTAGGGATGGACTACCCCTAACATTTAGGGGGATGAAAAATAGATGTTGGCCGTTTCTCAGACCTACTCAATAAGTTCACAAAATTTCATGAGAATCGATCAAGCCGTTTCGGAGGAATATGGGAATGAAATCTGTAACACGAGAATTTTATATATAAGATTTAAAACATTTGTTCAATCATATTTACTGAGCCAAATCAATCACTCACTAAACTATTACTTAAATGACAAACTGCATTGCAATAGTCCTTTATTCATGGGATTTTCATTACATAAGTAGATATGTACCTAACGTAAATAAACTGACTTTAAAAAAAAGAAAAATTGTATATTGTATATAAGTAAATTTGTATATTGAACTGAACTGTATGAAAAAAATATTATTATAAAAATCTTATCTAATATATAAGATATATTGAGGTCAATATACTTACCTATGTATGTATACTATTTGATTTTTCTGTGTCCCACAACAAAAGACAAATATAATAAAGATAAGCCTTTCTTTATTCTGCCCTTTTCATTACCTTTTTGTTTTTTTTTTTTGTTACATATATTTGTTGTTCCAATTATACTATATATTATTATACCATAGCATATTTTTTTTCCACAACAAAAAGTAATCATTCATTTCATATATCATTATTCCACTAGACCACATTATTTTCACATCTATGAATGAAAAATTATATGGGCTAGAAGATATATCATATTTTTGCATTTTATATGCACCAAAAGAAATGTGTTGTCAGGGATAGTGATACCATTGGCAGAGTAGAGACAAACTCAATTCCTAGCACAATACAAACATTTGTATTCATGAGTAATGTAATGTAATATGGACTCTATTCTCCACACTTAGACTCTCATTTAGGTTGTTGTGTAAATAGAGCTGAGACTACTAATGTAGCCAGCCAAGCTCCTCTCAGAAATGCAAAATTATGAGTATATATTTTTGTATTGGTCTGGGTGTTTTTTATGGATATTATGTATGTATTTATAATGGTTGTCCAATACCCATAACACAAGCCCTGCTTAGCTTGGGACTAGATGGTGCTATGTGGATCCTGAGATTTAATATTATGTATATATTTTTTAATATGTTTTTAGTATTGTGGCTTACATAGAATGATTATGTTTAAGTATACATATTTGACTTTTTTGATAAAAAGTTATATTGAGGGTGACAATAAAACACACACACAATTATTGTTAGAAAACAATATTATTATTATATAAATAACCATACATGAACAGTATCATCACATTGCTTATTTAATGTTGTATGGTTAGGAGTTTCATCTCCACAATACAAATATATGTATGAGTTTATCCTTTTGTCTATAAATTATTATATGTATTAGATATGGATATATTATAATAGGAAATATTTATTTGAATATATCCAATAATAGCCTTGTACTTATAAAACAAACATTACTGAGTTAGAAAAAACTTAATATATAACATAGCTTGAAACTAATATTGACCAATGTGATATATCAGGATTTATTTTATAAAATACCAAGTCCACATCACCAAACTATCACTATCAAGAAACACATTAAAACCATACAAATATGTATACACTACAATTTGTTAAAGACTGATCAATATTTATTAAAAAATAATGTTCTTAATTACTCCTAATCAACAATTCTGGAATAGGGTAGCAGACAGAGTTCAATGGAGAGAGCTGGAGGAAGCCTATGTCAAAAGATACACAGAGTTGCGGGACATTTTATAAACCACAAATTGTATTCCAACTTTCAGAAAAAAGGACAGAGTTAGAATGAAGAGAGCTAGAGAAGCTATGATAAAAGCAAATTGAGTTGTAGGACTTTAGAAAAAAGATTATATTATGATTATGCTCTTAATATGTGTGTACATCAGGCAAAACATCCCAGATGAGATGCTAAATGTGGAAAATAGAGTCCATATTAAAAGTGTATACACATATATAACAAATTCAGACAAAAAGATGTGACAATTTCGTAAACCAACCTTGCATTCTCCTAAACTTGCTACTTATTAACCAACAAATAACAAATAACTACTTATTATTCACATTGTGTTCTTTACAACAGGGTCCTTTTTCGCTTATTATAATATTGCATATATTGGAACTAACTTCATGCAGTTTATAAATTTATATTTTTTAATTTTGTTATACATTCAAAATCTGATTATGCTATATGTCACAAATAAGATATATTTGTGTTATTTTAGATAAATATTAGGACAATATGCATATATGGCAACTAATAGCCTAACATTATGGTAAAGGGTATAAACTTTTAGGTATATAGATCTTTCTAGGTAAAAACATTTATCAGGTCATTTCTACAGACTGGAACATTTAACTGTATAGCTTTCATTAATTGTATGTGATCTGTGTTATGCTAGTGCTTGGATATGTTTTAAAACAGTGCACAATTATGTATATATTGTTTTAACACACCCAGGTAGGTTATACAAGTGTCACTAGGAAATGTATTGTTGTCTCATATCATAAATAGATAGGCACAAAAAAATAATGATTAGTCAACCATTATTATCGGATTTTACACAATTTTAAGAAGATTCGTTTGCCATAACGGGTATTACAGTTAGTTACGACAAAAAACCACGACAGTTCTTTTTTTATCTGAAACTATCGTAGGCAGGAGGGCACGACACAAAATGGCAACCTGGCTCGTTTAAACAATATTGCAACAGTGTACATCAATATTACGCTGCACTTTTATGCATAACGAACGCTCTGGGGGTACCCTGACACGTATTCTCAAAGATAAAACTCAAATATTTTACTTTTGATAACACGCAAGAGCACAAAACGGAGTAATATATGGTTGCATCACTAATAGTTTCAGATTGAATAAAAGGTTATAAAACTACTGTGCTATATAATTTTACAATGTATAAATCAATTATAGGTATAGAAACTATGAAGTAACTCAGAAAAGACAAAGAGAAGTACTTACTGCAGGTGGCTTTATCTTGCATATTCCCGACTTCTCGGCGATTGGTCTTATTTTACTGATATAAGCCAGAGGATCTAGGAACTCCTCTGGCGTTGGCTCAAACACGGGAGCCTCCGGTGGTACGGTGAAAGTGAAATTATCAGGTTTCATGGGGGACGCCGAGTCCCCCATGCTAACTTCGACATTAGCTTCATCACATTTTCCCATTTTTGAGAAAAACTATGCAGTTCTCACAATTGCAACTATAAACAACACTTTAGCATCGTCCAATATTAAGGAATAAACAATGCACGGCCACAAAGAAATAAGAGCATCAGAAGTAGTCTTTCCATAGGGAACCACAATAAGTAAATTATTAAAATTATCACCAACAAATAACAGAGACCTCCTGCACGTCCGCCATGCGAAATTGAACTTTCGAAACTAGTATTGCCACGTGAAAAAATACTGTACTTTTTTTTTAAGTTGTGTTTACAAAGACCACTATCAATCTACATTCAGGTAAAACGTAGTCCTCGGAATTCTGAAGTACAAAATCTTATGTCATTAAATTATTATAAAAAAGATAAAAAGAGTTGTTATTCAAATTAGATTTTTTTATACTTATGTGAACACAAAAAGCAATAAATAATTATCATGTGCCACTTCACAAAAATGCTAGGTTGCTGTGTATTTAAGTATGAAAAGTTTTATAAGAGTATTCGTAATGATTACCTGCATTATAAGTTTATAAATAAAGCCTTTCAAAAAAATAGATAGAAAACTCCAAATCTAAGTTTTTGCTGACATAGACTTAACGTTAAAGTAATCACTGCAATGTTAGTCTCAATAATTGCTGAAAATATTACATGTAATCCAGTTGTATTTCTTACTTTTCTAAGATCTTTTTACATAATTGTGTTTACCATATAATTATTGACGTAATGAAATATAAATACGTATACTTTAATAAGATAAAGCATTAAAGAGGATGGTGTTTTAATAAGTTGTTTATAAAACAGTTAAGACAATTTTATATGTATAAATGTTATCACAGATTTGACAGCTCAATTCTAATTTGCTTTCCAATAATTCCTTAATACTATTTAACAATTTCGTAGAATATTCGAATTAAATCAATATGATTAACATGTACATAATTAAACTACTAGTTATTTTTAGCAAATTAGTGGCAACTATGAATTAAAATTATAAAGTATTCAGTTAGAACTGAAAACTGCACATGCGTTTTTTACTTGTAACTTCTTAAGGAAATACCTATTTATCTCCTTCATTTTATTACAAAATTTATTACCCATATTATATTTATATCGCAAATTGTGTGATAATATAAGTATTACGTATTAATAATAAGTTGATATAATGGTAACATTTTAGTTCCGTTTTTTTTGTACAATATTTTACTTTTGTAAACATAACTAACTTCGTGAACGCGCAGAATCGAATGCAATCGATGAACACATCCGTCATCCGCCGCCATTTGCGAAAGGTTGATCGCTGCCTCGCAGCGCGAGTGTCATCTCTTTGATTATGTCGAGTGTTTAATTTGTTATTTTCGATAAAACTGTGAACTCAGTGCCGGTATTTAACCAGTTAAAATGATTGTGAGATTCTTGAGCGTTTTGTGCGTCGGATTTTTGGTGTCTTCGGTGTACAGTGCCGAAGGAAACAACGACAATGAAGGTATGGAACTTCGTTCACTGTATTTATTTTTATTTTAAATTTATGTCACAAGTCGTCTTATGTCGTGTACCTTTCGTGTATTATATTAGGCCAGTATATTTAATTGTGCCGTAGATATTAATAATAATACAACGTGTTACCTAAAGTCGTAATAAACGCAGGTTCCAATGAAAAATATCTGATCACGTCAAGGTATTGGAAAATTGCGTTTGAAAACCTTTGTTTTTGTGAGAAAAACTTTCGAAAATTCTCACTTTTATGATTATTAGGCGTCAGTCTCATGGTTCACCCACGGTTTTCATGTGGGAGTTAGATCGTGGAACCGGCCAGACCACTTCTCGGGCCGTGCATAGCTGCAACCGCACACAGACACAGAGCCCGGTGCTGCGGTAGGCGTGAGTCGTTACGGCAGTTTTGCAGTTGATACATTCTGCCAGACTGTTGTTATGGTGAAATCATTATTTCAAACTGATTCACATCTAAAGGAGGCAAGGAAGTATTTTTATCTAATTAGTACAGTTATTATTCACCTAGCAATGATTCAAAAGCGCGATAAATATAATAAAATATCCTATAAAAACATTATTTTTATTATGATATATCCATGTCAAAATTACTTCTAAATTATTTACAGCAATTATTAAGTTAGATCTAATAAAAAAAAAATTAAATGTTTGACCAACTGGTAGTTGTCTGTCAAATGATTTATCTATAATCATTCTGTTTAATCTATAATCATTCTGTCTAATCAAGTCTGTCTCTAATTGTCCTAACCAATTGGTATCCGATAGCGGGAAATCTTAGCAATTACGATAATACTTATGTAGAGCCTTATAAAATTATTTTTCACATGTTTCGTAGGTGGTTTGTGGTAAGTAGTTACCTAAAAAAACCATTGCTAGCAGTGTATAATATTAGCTCGACCAATATGTAGACTTTCTTAGAAATAGATATGGTTAATTCTTAATGACATCTGGCTGGCTACTTTAGTAGTCTCAGCTCTATGCATACAATGGCCCCGAGGAGAGGCTGATTGTGGAAAAAGGTGTCCAACTTACATAAAATTATATATGTCCTTATATACTGTCTTCCACAGAGCCCCCGCAAGTGTATATGTTAGGGCTGGCGGGTGCACATTCTATAATTGTCCATTAAAGTAATATCTGGGAAGATGTCTAATGTATTATATTTTGACGACCTCAGTGGTCTAGCGGTTTAGCACACAGCTTTACGACCAATGGTCACGATTTCGATTGCTTGCATGGCACAAACATTTGTATTCATGAGTATGATTGTTTGTATCGGTCTGGGTGTCTTCTATGTATAATATGTATGTATTTACAAAAAGAAATATCTATGTACATGTATCAGTTATCTAATACCCATAACACAAGCTTTAGCTAGCTTAACTTGGTTCTAGATGGCACTGTGTGAATTGTCCTGAGATTATTATTATATAAAATTACAGACTAAATAAGTGCATTTACAAAAGTTATTTATGAATTTATGTCAGGTGGCAATAAAGTGTCTGGAAAACCTCATATGATCTTACATTACTTGGTGACATACTATGTTGTAATCTAATAAAACAAATCATACAAATGTCCAGATCATATATTACTTTAAAGTTCTACTACCTGTCCACTCCCACACTCACTCTCTCCAATCCTTTGAAAGAACAGAAGGATAGTCTGACTGCCATTCCCCACTTTCCTTAATTTTTATTTACTTATTTATTTAATTCAATGCTACTAATGGCATATTTGAAATACCTTACAGACTAACATACATATGAAAATTTATTATATGTATCCATTTATTATTCTAACTGACTCTCTGTTTATTGAAACACTGGTAACTAACGAAATGAATCCAAGAGACTCAGCCACAACTGATGTCAGCTGGATTGGATGTGATATGAATTTGAATTGGATTTGATTTGATTTAGACATACTAAGTGAAATTTCGGCATGGCAAGCGTTGCAATGACTAGATTGAGAGTTGACAATATTTTGCCATGTCTCTGTCTGTCCTATGTAAGATAACCGGCGTGAAGGTATATTATGTACTGCTATATATAAATAAAATTCTTCATTATCTAAACGCTAGATGAGATATTTTAACCTATTTACTAAATAAACAGCTACTGATTAAAACTTAATGTTATCAGATAAAGAAAATGGAATCATGTAGAATATAAAACACACAAATAAATGATATACATTGACCTGTGGTATAAACTAGGACAATCCGCTATTATTCGATTTTTTTTATTAATTCGTAAATAACATGTAGGCTAGCCCCAATGCTAAATTAGCATTTTTTAATTGATGATAATGGTGCACCTGTCGGCGCTAACGGTTTACGCTGGGGAGGCACTAGTGGAGGATGATAAGATGAGCATGAGTTCAGGTCAGTTAGTCCATGAAATTATCAAGTTGGTTTCCAGGGGGAACCACGTGGAGGTCAACCTGATATGGTACATTGCTAGCAATGGGTTCTTTAATCTATATTACTAACAACTTCGTTCCCTCGGATATGCTATTTTATCTAGCGAAATGTGATGTTTTTTTTTCATGGATGATAATGGAATGGTGCAACCGCCTGCGCTAACGGTTTACGAGGATGATAAGATGAGTAGGTCAGGTCAGTTAGCCCATCATGACAAATTCATCAAGAATTTATCACCATGGTTTCCAGGAGGAACCGCATGGATGTCAACCTGACATGGCATATTACTCGCAATGGGGTCAAGAATCCACATTACTGACAATGCTCTACCTCCTTGTGAAGTGAATTATACACCATAACATAACTAATTACAATGATCCGGGATAATAGTTTTGATGGTATGTTTAAAAGAATCGAGTAGAAATTTTCTTTGTTACTAAGTTATATAACAAAATTTTTTTCTGTACATTCCAATTTTTTGATCACACCTTTTCTTTAAAGCTTTACTGAACGAAAATGTAAACAAACCAAACCAAACCACAGTAGGTTGTTAGACATAGACACCTATATAAGTAAGTCTTGTAAACAAACTGTCTCAAAAAAAAAGAAATTCAGCTCAGTGTCTTGCCAGTTCTTCTCGGTTGATATACTAAACTGGATGGTAGAGAAAAAAATATGAATACATAAAACTTGACGTTCAAAAGCGGCTAAAATTTCCTACACGAACAAATGATTTTAGATTTAATTTGATATATGCAGCGAATCAAGAACAAGACGGATACGATCTTACCTGAGAGCATCGCCAAGGATTCGAAGCTCGCTAAACGCAAGCTGCTTGACGGCTGAAATCTATCCTAATATTATAAAGAGGTAAAGTTTGTGACTTTGTAAGGTTCTATGGATTTCTGGATTTATTGAACCATTTTCTAAATTCTTTATCCAAGGGGGATTGCTCATTTATCGAGAGATGTTATTTTACTAATATTATAAACGCGAAAGTTTGTGATTATGGATGGATGTTTGTTACTCTTTCTACTACTGATCGGATTATGATGAAACTTTACGATTAAACATCAGAATGTATAGGCTATAAATTTGATGTGGGTGAAACCGCGAGCACAGATAGTAGGTTATATAACATCACGCTGTGACCAACAGGAGCGGAGCTGCAATGAAAAATGTAGCTAAAAAGGGGGTAAATGTGTCGCAGACAAAGTTGCACGAGGGAGATAGTATATAATATAAGTAGACTTTCTACTAACGCTATCTAGGTACAATTGGTATCTTGGTAGTTTATTTTACAATTTAGTTACTTTAGTTTACATTTTAGTTTCTGAAAATATATTTTACAAATTTATACAAACGTCCCTAAATTTAAAAAGAAATAAAAAAAATATACTAGTATTGTAAAGAAGTAAAGTGCTTGAGTTTGGATGTTACAGGTAATCTTCAGTAGTGATGCGCTTTGGAAATATCATTTAGTGTTGGATAGCCCATTTATCAAGGACCAATACGAGCGGAGCTGCAATGAAAAATGTTGCAAAAACAAGAAAATGTGACTCAGATTATATTTTGAAAACGTGCAAATTTGTAAGAAAGTTCCCAAATCTTTACAAAACCTAAAGTGATATACTCATTATGAATGGCGTCACATAAATAATTTTATACAAACCATATCAAAATTAAAAATGCATATTTCTGGCCCTTATTCTAAGGCAATGAAAAAACAATAAATTACATTATATAATGAAAAAGGAAAATAAATATAATGAATTTATTATCAAGTTAAAATAAATGTTGATAAATAAACGCTATTACAGAATCGAAAGAATATTTACAAGATGCAGAAGAGTCATATAAAACATATAAAACGTCCGCCTCTCTTCTACGTTGCTATATCTAACAAGATGCGTATTATGTGTGTGAATTAATATATAATTAATAATATAATATAATACCATAATTACTATATCATAATTGTGCATTGACGATCTGGTCAAGATCACTGGAAGGCATTGGATGCAAGCAGCGCAGGTCCGATCGTCGTGGAGATCTTTGGGGGAGGCCTATGTCCAGCAGTGGACGTCTTCCGGGCTGCGATGATGATGATGATGATGAATTGTGCAATGTCATATAAATAAATAAATAAATAGACGATGTTACGCCGATAATCATTTTTCTTGCTCATTCTTCACATGCTGCTGAATCTGCATTCCGAAAGAGTGATCGAATAAAAAAACTACCATGTATATTGTTTATTAAATATTGTCATTCATTTTTAATCTATGGTATCTGTACAGTGGCAGATAGCTCTATCTTATTTATCTGTTTTTTTGGTATGTACTACTCTGTGCAGTTTTGGTCTTACAAAATTAAATAACATATATATATATATATACTTAGGTTGCTTTAAGTTTGTTTGAATAAAAATTATTTCTATTCTATTCAACCCTACAATATTCGAGCTAGATACTAAAACGGAAGCCAGTCTTAACACGTAGGTATCTGAAGTTTTCAGTGTATCACTATGGAATGAATGTTAATGAAAG